TGGTTGTTCAGGTTCAGGCAATACAGCATCGCCTCGCATGATTATAGTCCCAAAGTGGAAAAACCTGGATCGGATTTGTCTTCTTTGTCTACAAAGAAGGTTTAATTAGCAGGAATGTCCCACAATGTAACAGTGACAGCAACAGTGGCCTAAAAACCCCCCAAACATTTTCTTCTGAGAGATTCATTGGATGATTTTTAAATTTTAAACTGTGAAAGCAGTGTCCGCATTCCAGGAAAGTGTAATAAAACCATTTTTGCCACTAAAACCAACAATTAATATTACATTTTATCCTCCCGAGTCGGTTCCTGCATGTTAAAAGATTTCCCCAGTGGATGAAAGGGTTACTTTGAGTCAAAAAACGGGCTCCGACTGTGGTTTGTAGCCACTCCAGTTCTTGGCCTGATTGTTGGAAGCTGCACCATCTGTAGTTCTCAGCGCTTACCTGAGAAAGTGAAATCTGGAGGCTTGTGACTGGGAGGTCTAATCTGAATCTGGCTAAAATTTAACCTCAATGCATGATCTCGTCTATGCAAATAAGATATAAATACCATAAACTAACTGTCCTGCAGCAAACTGACTTTCTGGGGTCACTGCTGGTTGGAGGGCACGTTTTACCAACTCGGCTATGATGGCGTCAGCGGGAATACCGAAATATTTCAGCCGATCCCCGACCCCAGTAAACACCACACACATAACAAACACAATCTCACTGTTAAGCATTTCTAATCACGTTCCGAGTGAGAATCGTTTTGTCCTCGGCCTGCTCTCCTCTCTCGGCCTAAAGTCGTTTTCTGTGTGATGAATCCGCAGAGGCTGCAGCTGATCACACTGATTTATACGCACCAGTAGACACTCTTCATTATAATTAATAACCCTGCAGTTCAAAGCTCTCTATTACTGAACCACAAGAGAGCTGCAGGCTGAGCTCTGCAGCTTAGAGCATGCATGCAACAACCAAAAACACTCGTGCATACACAAAGCTCACAAGTTAAAAAGCTCTTGGCTGTTAAACCACGAGGGAGACTTGCTCAGCCTGACAGATTTAACCCTACACAGGATTAACCCATAAAATTATCTCGATGACCAGGATGTTGCCTCAGAGAAATAGAGGGGGGAAAAAAATCAACAAAGAAAATGGGACGGGGAAATGAGAGCGATTCATCGTCTCTTTCTCTTCTAGTAGGTCACACGTGCCCTTTAGTGACTTGTCAGGCACCAAGTCTCATCATGGGTTAATAGATGCATGGTGAGTTTAATTCTTCATGCAGGATGGAAGTGATGGAAGTAATAACAAGAAAAAAAGATGAATATAAAAGCACAGGAAGGTGAAGTGGACAGCACATGGAAGCAGAGAGATGGAAACGGATCAGGTTGTCTGCAGGCTCTCTCAGTACTTTTTTCTCTGGCTTTTACAGTCAAACTGCAGTTCACACTGGTGTCTATTCAAAGCCGTAATGTACATACTGAACACTTTAAAAGGATTTAATAAAACACATTCAGTGTAATTTTTTCTGTACAATAGAGCTGAAAATGTTTGAATGTTCTAGAAATGCTGAACTGAATGAAAGAAACATCTGAATGCTGCAACAAATCATCTAAAAGAATCTTAAACCTTTGTTTCTCACTCGCACCACTGTTCGAATGAAGCAGGGTAACATGAAGCTAATTAGCAAGTTTTAAAGATGTTCACTTTTTCTCCAAATATGCTTTTTAATATCTTGTGATGTTCAGCTCTTACTATACTCACATCTTCAAACTTGTTTACTTATAGATTTCAGCAGCAGCATCACAGCTTTATTTGCAGTTTTAATTGCAGCGATTGCAAACGGAGCTTTTTCACCTCGCTGCTGGTTTACATTTAAAGCTCTCCACCAAACCTTTGGGGGGCTTTTATTGTAAAGCTGCGGTAGACAATACAACTTAGCCACGAGTGTGATTAGAAGAGCTTTCTAAGCTATGTTCCTTGTGAAGGAAGGAAAGTAGAAAAGAAAGAAAAGTTTCTATTTAGTGAGCAGTTAATAAATAACCTAGACACACTCTTCACATGAAAAATTCCAGATCAGTTCAGGGCGTGCAGACACCCAGTTACGACAGCAGCAGTGCAGTGGCTTCAGTGTCGGTAAGTCATGCAACGTTCAAACAGAGGAAAAAAAAGACAGAGTCCAGCCTGGTGGAGCGTGCTGTTAGCTGGCCTCCAGTCACCGACTCACTGCCTGCAGTGGAGGAGGAAGCAGCAGCAGCGGGGGGCAGAGCCCCACCCGAGTTGGTGAGAGAGGAGGAGGAGCTAAGCCCTATGTGGGTGGGGCTAGAGAGAGTTTTGGCAGCAGTGGCGTCATTGTGCTGGCTGACGACGGACGGCTGGCGGCGCAGGGCACCGGGCACCGCCGCCTGGCTCGTCTGGAAGGTATAGACCACATCCATCTGAAGGAAGGACAGTCACAACACACTGTTAGAGAGCAGAGAGAGCAAGAAGACAGCACAGAGGAACAGACTTCTGCAGAGGTTAGAGACAGTGCAGTCTGACCTTTTAATTCATTCGGACGTAAAGAAGAGGTAGTGCAAGTACAGCGATGAAGACAAGCACATCTGATTAAATTACTCAATTTCAGGGTAGTTTACATTTAGTGTTAGCTGGCAGGAAACAGTGGAATGGCATTAGCTGATAAAATGTTGTGCATCAATCTACCATGAGACTCATCTATGTCATGCTTTGCTGCTAACAGCGTGACTGGGACTGTATCAGTCTGAATATGTCACACATTCAGTGGTAAGAGTTTAAATTGTCCTGACAAAAGGGTGACGCTATGTTTTCAATGAAAGTTGGCACAGATTCTGAGCCTTTCCCTCTCATACTGACTTGAATTAATCATCCAACCACAAATATCAAAACTGCAAAAAAAAAAATCATCTGATCAAAACCAACTAATATTTCATTTCATTCATCAAGATCAGTGCCGATGAAATAGACAGATTTTATTAAGTGGATCCTTTCCTTATTTTCTGTCATGTATGTATACACTGATGCTGAAAGGTCATTTTAAACTTTGCAAAGTTTCAAATAATGGATGATTTTGAATTGTGAATCATGGAACGCTTCTCTGTCAGAAGCTGGGTATCATACTGTCCCCACACTGAACAGACTGTATCCAGCATTTAAATTCAACAGTTAGTTTTACTGAAAGAAAGCAAATGGACATTATGGCAGTAAGAAACTTTCTGATTTTTCCATTGAGGTATTTCTTGCATATTTAGTACATTTGTTAAAGAAAAAGCAAAATAAAATATCAAATCTTCCAATGGGATAACCTCTGCAGTCCTTATCTGTGCTGCTGCAATACAGAAAAACTGAGCTACTGACACTTTTAGCAGGTAGAGACACTAGAATATGAAGGAGAAACAAAGATGAGAAAGAGATCAGGACAGAGGAGAAGTTGTAACAGCAAGGAGAAGTTTGAGAGCTGTCATTTAGTGTCAAAATGTGAAAATCCTCTGACAGAACGAAGGGATGAAGAAAGAAATGGAACAGTGAATAAAGAGCTTTTGAATCAGGCTTACGGCACTCTGAGAGAGAGAGAGCTGAGACAGGAGAAAGAGAAATGTGTCATTTGGAATGACTGATAAAGTTTCTGCAGCGAGGTGCTGCATGTAGCAATTATTCCCCCACTGTGTCTGACTGTTGAGGCGTTGAGCGGCACAACACTGCCCACCAGGATTAGAGAGGAAGAGGACAGGAAGAGGAGCGTGGAGAGATAAGAACCTAATTAGCTTGCAGCCTTTCGTCGCCTCCCTCTCCATCATCGCTTCCTCCCATCCTCCCATCCCGAGAGGACAACACTGATATTACAGATACACAGCCCCGAAGAGAAAAAGGAGAGCGTCCTCAGTTCTGTACAGCAGATCCGATGGCAGACAGAGAGAAGTGGAGGAGAAACATCCGCCTTTCACGACACAGATTTATGTGGACCGGGTGAAGATTATCGTAAACCGCACACGTGGATCAGGGTTTTCCGCTCCACCTGAAATCACTCTTGCCCTCGCCTGTTTCATTTGTACCCGCTCTGAAGCTTTCAATCAGATTATGTGATGAATGAGCATTTTGACCTCTAGACATTTACCAGCTCACCGGTAACACATCGATGGTTAGGGTTTTGTTTTAGCTTCATGCAAAACAGGCACGTTTTAAATGAAGTATCATTTATTAAATTTGATATTACCAGATTTGCCTACAGTTTCTATATGAAACCACCGACTTACTAAATAATTCATTTGTATTCTTACAGTTTTAGTCTGTTTGTGTGATAGATAGTGTATTTTGGATATTTAATAGTCTACTTTCCAGTTTTTTTTCTGAACAGCTGTTGAACACTTTGGCCATCACCTGCTGTTTTAATCAAGGTATAATGTATAACACAATAATAAAACGGACAAATGATGGAGAAGCACCAGAGCTCTGGATTAAGAAGCTACACTTATTTGTTTTGGTGTTTTATTTGGAAGAGGTCTGGTTTAAAATGAAGTCTTATTTTCTGTCAGTTACAGAATTGAGTGAAGAAGCAGAGAGTCAGTGTTTCTGCAGAGGTCAAACTGAGAAACTCAAGACGACAAACCAGAAAAAATTCGCTATTATTATTCAGACCTGGTTACCCTCTGGCCTCAGTAAGTACAAGCAAGCACACTGGTAAGAGGAAAACACCTGACCCCGCTGACTCCATGTGTGTGCGCGTGGGAGCGGAGCGATGACTGCTGTTACTGTAAGTGGGCGTTAGCATGGAGGCTAATGAAGCCCACAGAGACTGAATGGAACTGCCCGTGGACATGCTAAAGCTCAGTGAGCTGTCCTGTAGGAGGAGGATAACACAGACAAGTTCCAGCGTACGAAAACAGCGACTACTAAGAACACCAGCTAGATTTCAATCCAAATGCAATGTAGCATGAAGTTAGTTTACTGACATAATAATTCACTAATGACACTTACTCTCCAATTCTGATGGAAGAAAAAGATGATAGCATTCGTGTTTTAAAATCAGGTTTACCTCTTCTTTTGATTAGAGGAGTGTTGACTCTTGTTTTTTCTTTGTCTGTGCTTTTTTTGCTCTCGGTCGCTCTTTTTGTTTACTTTGTGGTTTATTTTGTGACTTTTTCCCCCCTGACCCATGTTATTGGTTTGATTGTGTCTTATTGCTTTCTTTTTAACCCCTCTCTCTTCCTTGCTGTCTGAATTTAGTCGGAATTTCAATCAGTCTTTGCCAGGCTATTGCATTTTCAACTTCCTCTTGTTCCTCAGTCTTCCTTAGATTCACCCCATGTTTTAGATTCAGTGCTTTTTTTGGACTAACCAGCCTAATTGTGCTGCAGGTTTTCTAACTAACTTTCTCTTTACCCTTTCTGCGTGTCTGTCTCCGTGATTCTGTATTTGGGTCAACCTTGCGGTTCTTAGAAGTATTCCTAAAGATTTGCTCACTAAATCTGGCTTTGTTATTATTTAATCAGTAACTTTTTCAAAAAGCGTGACTTTTTAATTTCTTGTGGTTTCCCTCAGGTTACACAGGAATTGAAAGTCCGGATGGAAACAGGTGGATGGAGACACGCTTGCTGACATGACTGATTAATTTACTGACTAATGAAAGTACTCAGGAAGGTTTGTGCCGCTGTAGCAGTCTTTAATTTCTGTTTTTTAATAAAGTGGTTCTGTGCCGAAGCTCTGCAGCAGAGTGTGAAATTGACAGGACAACATCTGCAGTTGAGTGTGTGTGTTTAATCTTCAGTTCAATTCCACACACACACACAGTGTGTGTCACAGAGGTGCCGACATGAAGCTGCAGTCGGAGATACAGCTACGGTAAACTTTTATCGAGAGTTCTGGTTGACTGCACTATGTTGTACAGTATACATATGATAAAGACTCTACAGGCTTCATTTGGCGTCTGATCTGAGATGGCTGCTGACAGAGTTTAGAGGCTCCACATGGAAAGTTTGCAGAGCCAATCAGGCTTTGCGGCACAGCTCCACGCACTCGTAAAATGTAGATACTGTGCTTTCTGTATATATTTTTTCTCCTAAGCGGCGGTCAGCTTGACTTCAAAGATTTTTTTACACCCTCCAGCTGTTAATTTCAACGTAAAGCAGCTTGATGCAGTTTACCACTTACTGCTTTTATCTCAGTAAGAGATGGTAAGGAGATTTCCATGTATCTGAAAAAAGGTCATTTTTTCTTTTCTTGCAACGAGAAGAGAACGTCAATAAGAAAAAAGATGTACTGTACTGTGAGAGCGCAGAAAATGTGTAGAGCATTTTATGTTGAATGAAAGTGAACTTGTCGTTTTGCAACAGAGTCTGGCTGGTCACCAGTGGTGATAAGCCGATGCTTGAGGTGATGCTCTGCTTGAAAAACACAAATGATGTTCGAGAGATCTGAAATAAAAACTTTGGTAAGGAATTTGTTGATGGTGAACCAGATCAAAAATGGACCCGGTTGTTGGATTCCATCGATTGTGATGCATTCAGGTGTCTGCTGGAAAAAATATTTTTATTAAAGTCTCTCTTTGTCATCTTGATGAGAGAATGCCTCTCAAACAACAATTCAGATAAGACAATAGACCAAAACCAAAACAAGCCCTCAGCCGTTGCCATCAAAGGGGGAAACTGATAACAGAAGTAGGTGATAAAGTTAGACATGTCGAGGAGCCGAGGCGAGCATACCTGTGTCTGGATGCGGTTCAGACCTCTGAACCAGAGAATCTGGCCTCTCCTCAGCTCCATCTCGGCGTGGTCGATTTCATCCGTGCCTTCGTTCAGCTCCTCCTCGGGAATCTCCTCCTTTGTGATACCGTGACCGGCCTCCTTCAGGAACTTCAGGTGGTGTGTGGGGATGGCTGAGATCAGCTGAGGTTGAGAGAAAACCATCGTCAGCAGATCAGATCTGGTGGTGTTTACGCCAAATCAGCAGATGAAAACAGCTGACAATATCCGATAACATCGATGGTCAAACTAATAAAACGTTTTATGAATATATAAAGACAGCCTGTGCTACAGCACGAGTTTAAAAGATCCATGAGAACTGCATTATGGGAAATGTAGGATCTTTTGGAGTGTGACTGATTAAAGTCCACAGAAGTTAATAATTCACGTATTAATATGTGTAGTGTATAATGACTCAAAAATTAAAAAAAGCAGGGTGTGCAGGGTGCTTTCCCAATCTAGGACCAAGACTTATGTGAGACAACAGGACTAAGGTGTTACTAAGAGGTTGTAGGAAGTATTTTGGGTAAAGTTTGGCAAATTTATTTTAAAAAATAAAAAGCTAACAAATGAACTCATTACTTATTAGCGCTTTGATTTTTTTTTCTTTACTAACAAGCAAAATGTTGCTAAAGCTGCACTGAAGCTTGATTTGACCTCAATTTTAAAACATAATATACAAAAACTAATGAAGCACAATTAACTTGTAACTTGGTTATGCAATCATTATTTATTATTTTCCTTCTGCTGGTGAACTATCTGTTCATGGTTGTTAAAAGAGAGCGGAGAGACACCCAGCATCCTGCTGGAGCTGCACATCAGCTTTTTATATCTCCGTCACCCTCCTCTCTCTCTCCGTTAGAAACAAAACGTGTTTTTACCTCTTAAATAAATCACAGACTTCAGATGAGTCTGTTTCTGTCAGCATATTTCTGTCTCTCTGCCCTCCACCTGAACCCAGCAGGCTAGCTATGACTGAACAGTTTTTCTGTGTGTTTGCATGCTAACAGGATCATGCGTGTGATGGCGTGTTCGTGCGCGTCCACAGAGGCGCTGACACGCCGGGTTTGTTTTCCCTCGGCCCTCGTAAACAGGAGTCGCACAGCTTTCATGTGCTGAGCTCATTACCATGGCGATGGTCGTGATGGCAACACCGCAGCAGCGCGAGTGTGACAGGCAACAGTTTTCTGCCATAAACCTCACATATCCACCTCTTCATCAGCTCCTGGGTACACGTTGCTTATTCTCACAGCTCGGGCTGGTGTTTGTTCTGCTCAGCTGTTTGTGCACTTGAGGTTTTTGTCTCACCTGTCCCCACAGCAGCTCTCCCACGCCGATGAAAACGCACCACAGCCACTGGTCGATGGTCAGAGCCGTGCAGGAGAACGGCTTTCCTCCGAACTGAACAATGACGATCTGGGAAGGAAACAAGCAAGCGGCATGTCAGCCGTGTGAAAACTAAGGTTTTTCGCCATTTGGGCACTACTTTTTAAATAATACCAAGGTGCGGTGTTAGTTAAGTTGCCAATAACTTCTCTGTCATTTACTGTAAATCATTAGCCAGCTAACTACAGAATCAACACGACCACCACCTTTCTATTGACAACCTTTCGACACTTTGTCCCCCACACAGCACAGGCAACTGCTCATCTCGTGATCTTCCACCTGTTTTTGGTCAACATTTTGGATGTGTGTGATTCATCGTACCGCCAGTTCTACTGTTATGGTCTTAACCTGATGTGCTGATGTCTTCTTACCATTTCTAATTCAGTGAAAAAGAAACCATCAGAAGGTTTCAGCTAAACTCTTTTTAAATGTAACCAAACTATGTGGAGCAAAAATGCAGCTGCAGCTACTGAGACCATGAATCCATCCAGACTGAGCGGTAACATAACAGGAAAACCTTGGTAGCACTAAAGGATGGTGAAGGTGTTACCTGCAGAGCGAAGGTCCCCAGTACAACGCTGCAGAAGATAGGGTTCCTGTAGACACCTTCGAACACGTTCCTCTCTCCGTGGATCTTCCTGGCATTGATTTCGTTGAAGAGCTGCATCATGACGAACACGTTGAACACGATGGTGTAGTGCTCTGATGGTGGGGAGTGCAAGGGAGCGTTTCGCCCACTGTCGATGTCGAAAAAGTTCTCACCTGATAAAAGATGAAGGAAAATACCCCAAAAATGTATCTCAACTGTTTCGACAATGATTAACAAACATCAGCGTCTTAGTATCAATGCATTACAGCAGAACCAGGTTTACACCCAACTTGGATGGAGTCAGACTCACCAGCGAAGAGCAGGGTAAAGATGATGACGAGCTGGTACACAGCATGGCCAAGTATGTTCTTCATCATGGTCCTGGAGATGAGGGGCTTGTTCCGACCGTAGGGTTTACGTAGCAGCAGAGACTCAGTGGGCGGCTCCGTGGCAAGAGCGAGAGATGCCAGAGTGTCCATGATGAGGTTGACCCAGAGCATCTGGACAGCTTTCAGTGGAGAGTCCTTTTGGAGAAGGAGTAGGAGTTTAATTTACGAGAAGAGAATATAACATCAGGTATATAACAGAATACAAATATGATTCAGCAACCAAACAACAGGGAAACCAGCAGACTCTTTGCAGACCAGCAAAGAGCATTACTCCCAACTACAGCTTTGAAATTCCCACGTTTACAGCATGAGAAACTGTTTTGGTCTAATTTTCCTTATTGTGACAACTGGAATGGTGTGACTGGTTTCAAATTTTGTAAAGGTATCTCGTGATCAAAAGACCCTGTTAAATGCAACCTGCTTGAAAAGATGGACTCAGTTCAGTTGGACTCGAATGTAGTATAAACGTGTATTCATACTAGATGACTGAACGCCAATGCTTTCTCAATGACACAGTAACACACACGGTAAATAACAAACCTATAAAACATGTGAGAGGACAGTGTGACCACTACTGACAGAGGAGCTGAGATGCTGAGAAGAACTGATCATTCAGGGAGCATGCTCTGACACGGTACAGGGCAATGAGTGGCCTGCTGTCTGGAACAAATATGGAATCTCTGAGATTCAAAAAATGTTGCCACTGATACACAAGTTATTGTTTAAGAAGGTTCAGGGACCTCATGGTGGACACATCCCATTTTTCACATGGTGTCTATGGTTATATTTGAACTTCCACATATTGTTAGGATTGCATTGTTAGGAAACAAATATATGGGCATTTTTTATACTGCTGTCACTGTGAGAACCATACTGTAAGAACTGATTTAATCTTAGTGCGTCTAACATCAAATGAGTAATTTAACTGCATAAAAAAATGAGGAAAAAAGTACACACACATTTCAAAGCACTCCCTCCACTTCTAAAACCCAGTTTACGCCTCTGGGTCCTGCCTCTGTTCCTCTGTACACACACCAAACACATAAATCGCCTTTTAATGATCTTTTCCGTGCACTAACAGAGACCGAGCGCCTGATGATCAGTGAGCAAAATCACAGCACAGAGACCACAGACCTGCTGAGTCCCCCGTTATATTTCAGGATTATGACGGTGACGTGTTGCCATGGTTTCAGGCTGAATCTTAGCCTACTTTGTGTTCTTCGCTCTGTAGTCGAGTTAGTTATCTGGTCTTGCCAGCTGTGAGCCTTTCAATTAATACACAGCCCCAAGACTTTCTTCTTTATTGTGTCAGGGGTTCAGCTTTCTGATTACAGGCACATTATGAAACAAAGAAAATGTGACACGGCCAACTCGCCTCCTCGCAGCACTGAGACGGTCACATCGAAATCACAAATTACTCTTTGTTTCTATGGATATTTTATCAAGCGGAGATTTAAAGATGTTTCCACAGCGTGCGACGAGGTACACCAAACACACCAGCCAGCCTCAAAATCAAATCAAAACACGAGTTAATCAAAAGCATAAGTGAAGGCGATGTTTTTACTGTTTTTGAATTTGAGATGAAAACCAGCAACGACACAAACACAATTTCACATGCTGTTTATACGCAAATAGCACACTCATTTAAATTGTTTTACATTCAAAACCTTTTAAAATCTATACATTCAAAAGCATGTGATTCATTGATCACTGATTAGAGATACTGTAGCACAAATGCTAGCAGCTGCTATAGTGAACATACAGTGGCTTGCAAAAGTTTTCGGCCCCCTTGAACTTT